CAATTACCGTCAGTCGCCCCGTGGTCATCAAAACAAGTCCAGGGCCAGTTGGCCAGCGCCTGCAAAGGACCTCCTCCCCAGCTCCGGAGCCTGTGGAAATCACTGCGGGACTTAAAAAGTCCTGCGCGGTTTTTTTTTTAATGTGCGCGGCCGCGCAGGCGCGCACCTTAGAGGGAACAGTGTTCTCTTCCTAGACCCTACCAGTTGAAAGTCTTTAACTGAAAGGGTCTGTAACATCATCTCTCTGCCAGGTGAGACAGGCCAATGTAATAGGGAGAATACAGTTCTGCCTGTCACCCATAAAGGTATATATACAAAAGTACACCCTCTTTGACTTCTATGGTCTTATGTATCAGGACGTAGTCAAAATCATTTGGGGCTTAGCAATTCTTAGTAAGTAAATGCAACCTTAGATGAATAGCAACACATGACATATTACATTATGTCATTTATTTTACATTGAAAAATCCAAGCATTTGGTGAAAATCATTCAGATTTTCAGTCAACAATATAATTAGTCCTCGACTTACAACCACAATTGGACCTCAAATTTCTGTTGATAAGCAAGGCATTTGTTAAATGAATTTTATCCAGTTTACAACCTTTTTTGCCACAGCTATTAAGTGAATCACTGCAGTTGTTAGTAATAAGTGTTAAATGAGCCTGGCTTCCCCATTGACTTTGTTTGTCAGAAGATCACAAAATGTGGTTACATGACCACAGGACACTGCAACCATCATATATACATGCTAGTTGTCAAACATCTAAATTTTGATCATGTGACCATGGAAATGCTGCAACGGTCGTGTGAAAAACAGTCATAAGTCACTATTTTCAGTGCTGTTGTAACTGAATGGTTAATAAACAAACTCTTGTAAGTCAAGGACTACTACAGCACCGTCTATATGTGAAAATACATGCACATTTACATCCCCAATCAACACATCTCTAATCCCAGTACAAGCATTTGTTACATATTTAGTGATAAGTGTATTAAAGGTAGTCTCTGGTCAACCAACAGTTATTTGGAACTTGAAACTATCATTAAACAATGCAGTCATAAAATATTATGTCATGTGACCACACTGATTCCAGCAATTCTGGTAGTTCCAGTTGCTGACATTGACACATGGTTTTTAGCTGCAATATCACAATCACCATTTGGAACTTCTTGCTAGCTTCCCTGTTGATCTTTCTTGTCGGAAACAGGCAGTGAGGGCTGCAAATGGTAATCACATACCTGGAATGCTGCAATGTAATTGCAAGCAGGTTGCCAAGCACCTGGATTATGAACACGCAACTGCAAGGATCCGGCAATGGTGGCAAGCGTGAGGACCAATCCTAAATCTCATTCAGCACTGCTATAACTGGTCGCTAAATAAGTGGTCCTTCCACAAAGACTACCCGTACACAACCAACAAAGCACACCTTTGTCTTCCTCCCTATTCACAGTTGAATTACAGAAAACATTCTGAAATTCAAGCCTCGTTAGTGTTATACACACTCTGTCACACATTTCTCCATGACCTGAAGGGGGAAAAGCCCCTAAACTGCATACCATGCAAAATAAAGCAACATTCATCTTCCCAAATATTGATCATTGTCCTTTTGTCCCCTTTCAATGTAACATATATAACAAACAAATCCAGCTATAATTTTTACATATATCCTTTTATATATATACCCTAATTGTGATGGAATGTAGTAGTATGGATATTACAAGATTATTAAGGTTCAGTCCAGAGGATTAAGACCACTCAGTCCATATATTTGGTGAGAATGAGGATGAAGACAGCTCCTCCATAATAGTTCTGATATCGCCTGATGTCAATAATGGAGTGCTGCAGTTTGGCAAGATTCTGTCTAGGTGTGGAACAATAAAGGAATTGCTTGGAATAATCATATGTCTTTCTTGGTTTGGGGGCCTGATACCATCTTTCTTTTAGTGCAAAAAAACACTTTTTTCAAATCATGGCATAGGATAATTTTTTACACATACATTAAATAAACTTCACAACTATTCCATTATCTTCAATTACAGCATCACAATTTTCAATATTTATGAGTTCTTTTTCATTATTGGTACAAGAAAGATTAGTACAGAAATCATTTATTTCAATTTCATCTTCAACATTCCCATTGATTTGATTTACTTAAAGTGCCATCAAGTTGATGCTGATTCTTAGTAACCATATAGATATTCTCCAAAAGGATCATGTCAACAGCCTGGTCCTTCAGGGCTTCAAATGCTACTTGTAACTGAGTCCATCCATCCTCCCGGTTGTCCTCTCTTTCTTGCCACCTTTCCCAATATTATGAATTTCCCGAGAGAGGTAAGTCTTTGAATAATGACTCCAAAGAATAACCCCATTTGTGCCTTACGGGTTGATATATTTGATACTCCTTGATTTGTTTTCTTAGCTATCCATGCTGTTCTCAGGAGTATTTTCTACTGTTCAAAAGTATCAATAATTATTCTCTTGTTGAAAGCCAAACTTCTAGAGTGTCATAGGGAAACCATTCTGGTCTTTGTAGCTATAGACACAGCTATAAAGTATCTTTGCACGAATTCATTGCTATGCTACCAAGGAATAGACTGTAGTGTATTTCATGACTGATAGATCCTTAAGTGTTAATAGCTTATCCCCCCCAAAAAGATGCTATCCACTACTTTAGTATCCTCATTGCTAATTCTAAGGCTGGTTGCTGCAGACATTCATTTTCTTGCATCTAGTCTTAGCCCCACTTTTCACTGTGCTCCTTGACTTTTATTATAATTTGAGCAGATCATTAGCATTTTTAGAGACCAGACCATTGTCATTAGAATAAAGCAGGTTATTGATGTTTTTCAAATTTTAAAATTACACTGATCTTTCAATCCAGATTCAATATATATTCTGCATATGGATTGAATAAATAGGGCAGGATTACAAGATCATACCATAGTATACTTTTGTCTTGTGGTTTCCTAAGCACAGAATTGATCCATTTTTCATCTCATTTGCTCATTCTTTCTCTACCATTTCATCTTTTCAGATTCCACGGTTCAATTTTCCATGTGCCATAATCTTGACCAGATGGGTTGCCAATAGCCTTCATTGCATAACATACTGCATAGCCTAGACTACTGGCCTTAGTTGTACCTGTCTGCTATATGGAATATTCCCTGCTAAAGAAAAGGAAATATTACGAGTCAATTTCACCACCTTTCGGCCAGTATACTACAAACACAAGCAATGCCTAGTTTTAACTCAGGCATCATCACACTTTTCTTTACAACCTAAGAACTGTAACACTATCCTTCAAACGAACACGCTATTGCCAAAATCCCATGAGCTCCGATGTACGTGCGGTGCATTTACACACTCAGAACTCACTCCTCGGACTTTATTGAATTCAGTTTCATGGGCAACGGACTGATCCACAGTAAGATGACTCCATAATCTTTGCATTGTACCTCCAAATGTGATGTTCCGGCCAATTAGGCATTCTAGCCAGGCACGTGGAACAGCCTGGGGAACTGTGCCATAAGTTCTTGGAAGACAACAGGGGAACCTTTAACCGGAGACCAGAAAAACTTTTTTTCTAAGCCTGTTCTCAGGAATATACCCTTAACCTCTCCAGTTTGGATAGCGAGTCCTAAGCCTTCGTATAGTCAGTGAATTGCTTCAGACCGCAGGCGACGATGCTGCCTTTATAAAACCAAAGCCAG